GCTGCTGTTATCAGCCTCCCGGGGTCTCTCGCCCATGTCTGTTTCAAGTGTCTCCTTCCATGTCCCCCAAGTTCCTGGTGCAAATCTAATTCATGAACCAAGCACGGCCTCTTTTTCACATGTCTCTGCTCCATGTGCCTCCTCCAGGTCTTCTTTCCAAGTCTCTTCTCTGCCCAGTCTCCTTTCCCTAGACTTCTCCAGCTTCTCCTCACCACTCCCTTATGTGGGAGAGGGAGCATGGATTAAAACAAGGATGTTTGAGCCAGAATTAATCTGCCAGGCTGTCTTCCACTATCACATGGTGGACGAAGCAGACAGTAGCACAAGACCCCTAGACAACAGGCTTTATTGGGGTCGGGGCAGTGAGACAGATCTCCCCAGGGCTGACCCTTTAGATTCTGGCCTTGACTTCCCACCAACCCTGGTCCCTGCCTGCATGCCAGCATAGGCGCTGCACAGCAAGGCAGTGCAGCAAAGATCGGGTCTCCTGGGGAAGCCAAGTACTCTAGTAAAATACCCAGGAGTGGATGATCTGGGGGGCTGGGTCCTCTCCAAGGCCAGTGCAGGGACCTAGATCTTGATGTCCGTGGGGAATGAAGAATGAAAATGCCAACTGCTACACAAGCAGCTCTTTTGTGTTCCAACAAGAGAAACTTGATGAATATGGATGGAATTTTCACCCCATGGAATGTAAGGGGACAGGGTTCATCACTGTCAGAGAAGGTCAGAATTCACTGTGGATTAATGGATCTTTGTACTGTGGATTAATGGGAAATGCCCAAGGGTTGTATTTGGGTGGGAGTGGGATTTTCCCTTTAATAGTGTAATTAGATTTCCAGAAGAAGAGCATTAAATCCAAAATGAAAGAAAGAGTGAGGTTGAATTTATGAGGCATGTGTGACTGTGCAGGAAGAGTCTCGCTGCTCTGCTCTGGAGCAGACCATCCTAGCTGATTCCCAGTATGGGTGGGAGCAAAGACTCATGGCTTCCTTTGAGATTTTTTTACAGCAGGGTGGAAAGTCTCCTATTCCCACTACCCTCCCCCACAGGCCTCTTTGAACTGGTGGTTTCTCTCTTGCCTTGTTTGGCAAGGCAAACAACTCTTGCAGATGACTTGGAGGCTAGGGCCTAGCATTTTTGAAGATGAATATACAGAAACCCTATTTAAACATGACTGGGGTGAGGGGAGACCTCCTGGTGGTGCAAGGGGTTAAGCGTCAGCACCATGAATCAGTCTGCAACTATTGCAGCATGAGTTTGATCCCTGGCCAGAGAACTACCCAAATGGTGCAGCAGACCTCTCCTGTCTCGCCCACTGCTCCCCTCAGCAGTGTATTTCAGTAGATATGCCTGTTCTGTCTCTGGGGATCTGGTGAATCCTCTAACCCCCCACACTTCCGGCCTGTACCCCAGTTTTTGTATGCATAAATAAATCCTTAAAAAATAAAAAATATGGGGCCTGGTAATCCTAGGTGAGGGGGGCCCAGCTGGCCTTCCAGACTTGGTCCAGAGTCCCAGCCCCAGGAGGGGAGGGACAGTGCCCCACCAACATCAGGGGACCAGTAGGCCCCCACAGGGAAGATGTCTGTGGGGATCCTGATAAACTGATGTTCATGTTCAGGGCACACAGGAGCCTCCTGGTTTTCGACAGTCAGTAATGTCTGAAACCAACTTCCTGTCAGCCCTGTAGAATAGAGATTTGGAGTTGAATTTTAATTTGGTTTAAATAGATTCAATGTGATATTTCTGGAATACCTCTCTGTGGGCTAAGATTCACACTTGTTGTGTAAGGAAATAGCTGCTTTTTTTCTTCCCTCTACCTCATACACCATGATCCTAAGGAACCCACACATTGACTGGGCTGAATCAGAGGACTGAGCCATTGACTGGGTGGGGCTGGGAACACAGAGCTCTGTGCTCTAGATAGTTCTCTGGAGTGAACCTTCAGCTCTGCTTCATCCAAATCTTGCTGCTACTCATGTGGCCTGGAATTTTGCACCCAGGACAGGGCCCATGCGGGTTATTGCCCGTGGAACTCTGCACATATGGGAGGGAGCAAGGGCGTAGGCATCTCCAGGATGAGCAGCCATCCTTGCAGGTTAGGTGGGAACCTGATTGAATATGTGAGCATCTCACTCTACCCACACTGTCACTTTCCCCAGTAAATCAATAGCTGTTGGTTTCTCAAATTTTCTATCTTAACCAATGAATCATTTCAGCGCCAGGGAACAACTGCAAGATGAGCGACCTGGGGTCCTGTTTCTGATCTGTCATTGTTGACCTGACACCATTCAGAGCAGTCATTTTGGGGAGAAGTCAGAGGGGGGGCCCCCCTCGTAGTCAGCTATCTAACTGGGAGGAACAAAAGGGACTAGGCATGCCTCCAGGGTTCCAACCATAAACTTCAGGTTCCACACTGATTGATAACAAAGGCACCCCAGAGACACTCACTCCGCACACCTGTGCACCCAGCCCTTCAGGCTGCTGCAAACTTTATCCTCCAAATCCACCCACACTGCCTACGCCTCCCCCTGGAATGGCCTTAGGCAATTGTCCAGATTTGCCGGGATTCTTGAAAGAGCTTTGCTGAGGTCCTGTGCAGAACTTTGCCCATATTATCTTTTACTTTCATGGCACCGTGTGAAGCAGAAAAGAAAGTAAAAGTCAATTAAGCCACTTAATCCAGAACTGAAAGGAGGTTTAGAATTTCACCTGCAGGAAATTGTTTAGCAGTGGAGAGGAAAGGGCTTCACAGTATAATTTGCTTCCCTGAAACTCCCCTCCCCCTTGGTGGGGTCACCACATGTCAGCATCATGACCTTCACCTTGAATATGCAGGTATCTGCTTTTGGTAATTCACATTTGCTGCATGTACTGTAGGTGGGTTGCTAGGCTAAACACTCTACATAGTCAACCTCATTCGATTCTCCCCAAATCCTATGCAGTGCTCGTTTTTATTTTATTATGGTGCTCATTTTAGAGATGGGAAAAACTGATCCTCAGAAAATGTTGTATGTGTATGTCATACTGTTAGGATGGGGACCATGTTCCCGGCCCCCACTTACATGCAGTCGCCTTGGACTGGCTGTTGGAACTAGGGGCCGAACTGGGTGGCCAATGAAGCTCTATAATATGAAAGACAGGTGGGGGCCTCCCCGGTGGCGCAGGGGTTGAGCGCTGGGTTGCGAAGCTGCCCACGGCCTCTGCAGCACCGGCTCGATCCCCGGCCGCTCCCCGGCCACTGGAGGAGGGTCCCACATGGCGTACAGACCCCCCCTGCCACCCGCTGCCCCCTCAGCAGTGTACTTCGGTCCTTCTGCCCGCTCTGCTCCCCGCTCTGACTCTGGTGAATTCTCTCACCCTCCCGCACTTCTGACTGTACCCAGTGCTTGTATAAACAAAACAAACAATAAATAAATAAAACATGCCTCTATTAAAAAAAATATATATATGGAAGACAGGTGGGTTCTGGGAGTCCTTACTTCTCTGGCTATGCCTTGTGCCAGGAACTTGGGGGGGGGGGGGCTTGGAAGAAAACATGTGGAGGAGAGACATGTAGAGACATGTGGACGAGACTCATGGGTGAGAGGCACATGGGAAGGCTGCCCCTTGGCAGAGACAGTGGCAACTGCCATTTGTACTTTAATTTTGCTCCCTCTGTCCCAAACCCCTGGCCTCCTTAGCCCCTCTCCCATGATTCCCCAAGAGAAGTTGCCTTAGACCTGTGACTAGCTTTTGGGTATCAGCATCCCTGCTTAGTGCCAACCCTGTTTGGCTGGATTTGCCCCCAAGAGGATGGGTAAATTTGGGTGTTTTATTGGGAAACTGTTACTAGGAATAGCCTCTTTTCTTCCCTCTCTATGCACTAATTCTATTAAAGATTTTTCACACTAACAGTTTGCTTCCTTTGTCTTTATGCAGTGGATGGCATATGACCCTATTTTAGGGAATGAACCTTGTCAGTTGGGGGAACCCTAATCCCCCTCCGTCATGCTCTCATATTACTACCTAATACTTATTAATTTGAAATCTCAAAATTCTGTAACATTCTATAGATCTTATAGATGTAAAACAATCACCAAGTTATACCATGTGAGGTGATGGATAGCAACTAAACTTACTGTGACAATCATTTCATAATATATACATATAGCAAATCATTATGCTGTATACCTTAAACTAATACAATGTTATACATCAATTAGATATCAATAAAACTGGGGGGAAATAAACAACAAGGCCCAGAGGCGCTGAGAGATTTGCACCAGGTCACATAGCAGCAAGTTAATAAAAAAGCACCAGGTCTGAAATTGCTGCCCGATGAATCCAGCTAGCATGGGATAGTATTAGTTTGGGCTACCAGGGGAATGGACAATGAAAGAATAGGAAGGCAGGGATGTAAGAAGGTGAATAATAAGAATAAGCTGATCACAATCAGATCTGTGACATAAGATGTCAACTGAGAGTCCAAATAGTAGAAATTTAACTTCCTGCTCTCTTCCATCCCAAGCCAATTGCCAGAAAGATCCTCCTGACCTTTTGCCATTAACTTCTCCCTTCTTGACCCCTTTACTCCTGTTGAGGGCATTCTAGGGTGGTATTTACTACCTCTTCAAAGGGAATCAAAGAGAAACAAAACATACAGTAGGCTCAAAAGGACAAAGACTTTTTTAAATCCCTCCTCCCCCACCTAAGTCCCTCAGCATCCACACACCCAAGCACAACTTGCAGAAGGTACTCTATGACTCAGATGGCTTCTTTCCCAGGGACTTTTCAGGAGCAGGGATGAGAATAAAAATGAAGTAGGAGAGAAGGCCTGGGGTAGGTGAAAATTCACTTCCCTAGTGATGGAAGTGGATTGCCTTCCTGGGAATTCAAGGTGGGTGGGAGGCGCGCTTTGGGGAGGAAGGCTGTGGGTGGGGCGGAGAGGGAGGCACAGAGGCAAACCTCTCATGCACCCTCCTGGCGCTCCCCCATCCAGCTGTGACCTTGCTACTCACATCGGCCTCGTTCCACAGCCCTGGGATGCAGAAGGACTCCAGCAGGTCACTGCCACACAGAAGCAGGATTCGCAGCTCTGAGGGGAACAAAGTTTGCACAGGGAATAAGTGGATACTTGGGATGCAGCTTTTCTGCTTATCCACACAAACACTCCCCACCTTCCCGCTCCACAGTCCACTTCAGGCACCACTGCAACTAGGGCGAGCAGAAATCCTGGCTCCCCACTCTTGCCCTCCCCCTCCCGCAGGCTCCTATACTGACCACTCTTGTCCTTTTAGGGAGGAATTAGTCATTCAGGACAGTCTTGGTTTGCCTGGTACTGAGGGACTTCCAGGGACTTCTGTGCTAAATCAGGATTGTTGGTCACCTCAAGAAAGACTGAGCCAGCCAAGGTCTAACTGCCTCTCTCGCTCCACATCAAACTCAGTGTCAACAGTTTGGCTTTTCTGCTCTAGGGCCTTTTTTGGAGTTTATCTCCCATCACGAGATCTCACATGATGGGGGGACATGGGGAACACCGTGTGCGCACATGTGGTAGCTGGGGTCACCGAATGTCCTCTCTTTCCATGGCCACCATCTCAGCAAAGGGCTTGGAAACAAAGCTGCGCTCCCCTTCCCAACTCTCAGCCACACTTCCCCTCAGTTGTTTTTCTTCCCTCATTAAGCCCACTCAAGTAGTCCAGTGAGGCCCATCATCACCATCATTGTGTAAAGCAGCAGCAAACTGACTTACTTGTTAAGTCTGAGCAAAAGGGAAAAAAGAACCCTGGGATTCTTGGAGGCCCCTTGGGAAAGGCCTCTGCCCCAGGTGACTCAGGCTGGTGTGTTTGGGTCCCAGGCACCCGGGCCCCATCAAGAAGGCACAGCTCTCGCCCGCTGCTCCCCTCAGCAGTGCTTTTGGTCTGTCTGCCTGTTCTGCTCCCCGCTCTCTCTCTCTCTGGTGAATCCTCTCACCCTCCAGCACCTCTGGCCTGTACCCCAGTTCTTGTATAAATAAATAAATCTTAAAAAAAAAAAAAAAAGAAGCCAGGATTGTGAGCATCTTCTTTGAAGCTGTGAGTCGGCCTGCTCTGAGCCTTCCTGTGGCCCCTGCCCACCCTCCCCACCAGGCCCGGAGGCTGAGAGATGGGCACAGCTCTGCTGCCTCAGACCCCACAGCCAGCTCAGGGCCTGACAAGCACTTTCAGATGCTGAGCTTGTCCCTGATACCGGAGTCTCCAGATGGCTCAGTGAAAGGCTGCCAGGCTGACGACAGTACCAGCATCTCATTGTTCTGTGTCTGGCCAGGCCACCCGCGGGGAGCTCCAGGGAGCAGTGAGATCTTAACTCTTAAATGTGCCTGCCGCCTCTGTCCCCACTCTCCTCCATGTCACATGGTACCTCAATCATCAGTGTGTGATCTGATCTATCTTTATATCCCCAGGTTATGGCAGAATGACCTGCACACAGTAGGTGCTCAGCGACAAGCTGACCACAAAGGTCATGCACACAAGCTGTTGGGGCAGTGTGGGATGGGGCTGCAGGCCACCTCTTCCAGCTCTGGGAAGTGCCTGTCCTGGGCAATGTGCCTCCCTCCCTCCACAGTAAGCCTTGGCTTGGCTGAAGAGAGCCGGAGTTCCAGGTGAGCTCTCTGTTTAAAGGGTGAGACTCTGCTTGACTGAAAGTCCAGTGAGGTGGCCCTGGTTCAGCTTTCTCTGCATTGCTGATTCTCAATTGGGGTGACCTTGTCTCCAGATTTTGGCGCTGACCAGAGACGTTTCTGGTTGTCAAGTCTAGAAGGCGGGGAGTGCTACTGGCATCTAGGGTTTAGGGGTTAAAAATGCTGCCCAGCATCCTACAAAGCTTTGGACAGTCCCCACGGCACAGAATTATCCCTTCCCAAAGGAGATTACTGCCATCCCGGAGAGGCCCCGTTCCACAGCCAGGAAAAAGAATCTCTTTTCTATCCTCATGCCAAAGACTAACTTTCCCGCTCAAGTATTATGTGGGATTATTATTTTATTAAGCTAAAGCAAGTTGAAGATTGGGGTCCCCACCTTTTCTTGCAGAACCAGGACAGATGTATCTGTCACTGACAAGGGGTCACGGATGAGGCAGAGCGCGGGATCCCGCGCGTGGCCACTGGAGGGCAGCAGTGATTTCTCCGCTGTGGTGGGAGAGACGAGGGCGCCGCTGCAGCGCGCGAGCCTTTGGACTCGAGCAGGCCCCCAGCGGAGCAGCCAGCTGGTTAAGAACGTGGCAACGGAGCCATAGATGCTAAGGTAGAAGAAGGTGGGTTTTCCTTCTCCTGAAGCGTGCCAAGGGGCCTCACAACACAGAAGTCTGGCGGCACACAGCTCCTCCCACCACCACTGGAGGTGCCCGATTGGGGCATTCACTCCACCCCTGCCCTCTTCAGCCACGGCAGGGAGCCACATTCCCCTCGCGGAAACCCCAGCTGTGAGAATCCAGGTCCTGGAGCCCCTTCAGCGCCCCTGCACCCCACAGCAGATGACCACCGAGACCAGGAAGCCATCCTGCCAGCTGTGGCCATCAGCCTTCCACGCTGGGTATGAGCAGCGTGCAAACATTCATCTTGGGGTTGCTGCGCTGTAGGAGGGGGATCTCCCTAATACCTGGCTCTGAGTGCTGGGGAGGTAAACAAGGGCACAGCGGAAGCTTGGCCACAATAAATTCTTCCTGGAAGCAGGAAGAGAGAAATCTGCATAGGAATGCAGCTCAAAGTCTGCTCAGAGCTGTGTGGTGAAGGAAACTCCAGGGAAGGTGGCTCCTGGCTGATGCAGAGCACAGGGGCGTAGTCTGCAGAACTCCCTTCCCCAAGCTGGCTTTGGGGGTTCGGTGCTGAGAAACCTGGACCTAAAGCTCCTGCCTCCTTCAGGGGAGCTACCAAAAAAATCTGGTGCCCCTTCTTGTGGCCCTCAGTCATGTGCTGGCAAATAAAGGATATTCAGATACAGTAGGTTAATTAGGAAGTGTGGAATTGTTAGGGGGAAAAGGATGTCCTAGAGCTAATTCCATACAGGCTTTGTGGACTCCACCCCCACCCCAGGCCAAAGCCAAAGACACTGGGAACTCCAAATCCCATCACCACCAAAGGGAAGGTGGCTGGGACCTGAGGGTGGGGTTAAGCAGCCAAGTTGGTATAAAGGCAGACACGTGGGCTTTGGAGGGATCCCCCATTTTGGCTCTCAGCCAGCTCGCAGCGTCCACCCAGCTCTGAGAGTGACTTTGGGTTTCCAGGTTGGTGGATCAGGTAGGACGCATTAAAGACTTTATTTCCCTATTTTCTCCCTGAGTTGTACATTTTCCTTATTTCCTTTTCCCTTGTAAATAAACCTTTTATTAACCTTTTGTGTGTGCCTGTAGTGGAGTATTAATAAGTCCCTTTTAAGCGCGCGGGTGAGGACCCACAGCCAGGCAACCCGTTTTATTTTACATCGGGGCTGCCCTATAACAGAGTTTTGAGTACTTGTGATCTTTGTGATGCAATTTATTTAATCGTTACTCGGCATCACTTAAATGTTAGTAGTTGCTGCATTTAACAACGGGCTTCAAAATTCCTGAAAATTTTACAAATGGTTCTAGTAAATCAGTTCAGGTGTAGATCTGTGCAGACCAAATGCCAAGAAACCCCTTGAAATGATACCACATCTGCTGGGTCTTTAGAAGAACCTGGTGCTCAGATGCAGCCAGCACCTCCCCAGATCACAGCAGGAGGCCTGACCTCCAGCCTGGACAGAGATGGCTTTGCACTTGGGAGTTCAGATGGAGCCTGCCAGCTGGACACCAGGCTGTCCCTCATTCTAGTGACCAAACACACTGGAGAAACCAAAATCACATTTGCGCTTATGGTAGCCAGTGCCATAGGGAAGCCCAATTTCCCCATGGGGCTGACTAACCACGGATGGCTCTGTCCTAAATCACGTTGGACGCCAAATCTGTTATAGGACAGGGAAAGGGTCAGCCCAAACCCCGCAAACCTGCCTATTCTAAATGGGTTCTGCCATCCGCCGCATCAACACAAAACATATAAGACTTTAATGGGAAGGAACTTTAATAAAACTAGGAAACAATACAGGTAAGGCAAAGAGTCTAGTTTCTAAATGAAGCACCCAAAGTTACCCGTCCCCTCGTGGGTAAAAGTCCATCCAAATGGGACTGGCCCAGAGCAAGGCCCCAAAGCCTGCCACAAGTCTAAAGCACCTTCCAGTGGGGACCCACAGAAAAGGGTCAGAAATAACCAGACAAGCCCGGAAGGAAAAGAGCAAAATCAACATCAAGATAAAAACTGCCATTGTCACCTCCCCACGGGTCTCACCCACATCTGTGTCACCCAGTCCACGACCAAAAGACAAGCGCAGTTTCTTCACGTGTCTCTAGGCTCCATGCGCCTCCTCCAGGTCTCCTTGCTCCATCCTGCTTCCTTCCTCAGTCTCTTCTGCTGCTTCTCCTCTTCCTGCTCAGCTCCACCCTTCCTTGGGTGGGGCAGGGAACCTCCCCCTTTCCTGGGGACCACCCTGTTACATTGTCACTGCCTCTCCTTGAGCCTGGTAACTGTGCTGACTCCAGGTCTAGTCTGGCCTTTCCCTGCTTTTTCCTCAGCTTCACACACTTGTGTCTCTTACCCACTCTGGAACCTTGGGAAGATTTCATTTTTCTTGTTTGCTTCCCATTGGTGCACAGAACTTTCACTTCCACTGGAGGGTCAGCCCTTCTACCTGACAGCTTTTTGTGATTTTCTCCATCTGCTCCGGCCTGTGGGCCAGAGAGCAGGTGCCCCAGCCTCTGCAGGAAGCTGTACTGGGGGTGGAGAGAGGGTGTGTGGAGGTAGCTCTTAGCTCCCCTTTTACTCTTCCTTCAAGCATGGTATCCTCTGAAGGAAGGCAGGGAAGCTCTCTGCCTCGAGCACAGGGTTGTAGGCAAAAGAAGGGTCTCCGGCCAGCACAGAGGCTCAACTCCCATGTCTTTGGATGAGGGAGAGGAGACTCACCAACGCAAAATTGTCAATTGATCTAGTCCTGCCTCCTGGGAACCTGGTCAGTTTCAGTCAGATGTTTAAGAGGCGATAACTAAGATAAGATCATTTAGGAACAATCATTCTCTTGAGAGTATACCCTGATGCAAACATGACGCCCAAGGTTTTCAGACCTCTCCCCCCACCTCGTTGCTCATGGTGGAGGCAGCTGGCTGCAAACGTCCCCATGCTCCCAGCTCCACTTACCGATCTCCTCGTACCGCATCACTGTGCCCAGGTTGGCATTCTCATCTGGGGACCAGAGAAGGGGTACAGAGCATTAGGAAATTGATTTCCTAGCACCCCACACAAGGGATGGGGTGGGAGGGGGGAGCAGGAAGTACGGGGGTGCTTGCCTCCCTGCACAGGGGCATCTGTGTAGGATGAATGGCGAGTGCACTCCAGCCTAAAATGGAGAGGAGCAAATCCTCACGCTCCAGGGGCAGGACATCACATTTCTGGGACATTCGGAATCAGACAGCCTCGCAGGGAGCAGTGACAATCACATGCACACCCATGCTGAGCGCCTTCTGTTTCTCTCTGTGTGGTAGGGAGCCGGCCACACAGCCACAGCCTCAAAACCCAGGCAGACAGATTTTAGGGCCACAAGGAGCTGATCCTCTCTCCTTACAGGTGACTTGGTTCAAAGAACAAGCTACACTGAGCAAGTGTGAAGTCGGAGTCTTTGGACATGCTCGCAAGTGTGCAATGTCAGCATTGGGGGGCGGCGTGTGTGAAACCACACAATGCCATCTTGGTCGCCTGCCTCCCTTATTCTCCACCACCCCTCTGAGTTCCTTGACAGGAACAACAGGAAGCCGGTCTAAGCCTTCAGCTCTTCTGCAGCACTGAATTTAAGGGTATCAGGAGAAAGCACCTCGGGGACTGATATGCTCTTCCAAGCTGAGTTCTTGGGCAACAGTCTGGGGAAGAGGTATGTTCTAGCGTCTTAGGGGAACTACTGTTCCCACAGCTGGGGAGCCCAAGGGAAGGTTCTGGACCACCTAAGGACTCTTGGGCTGGTAGACCTTTTGGGGGTGGGGTAGGATGAGCACAGCCTCAGGGAGAGATGACCCGTGAGGTCTCCCAGGCAGCCCATCAGGGCTCCCCTGACATTCTTGCTCCATAGCTCTCAGTGATTACTGTCAGTGATGAGCCCACAGCACAGCTAGGGGCTGCCTGTGGAAATGAAGGAAGGAAGGAGGAACGAAGACAGGACTAGGAAACAAGGTCGTGCTCCCTTACCCACAAAGGTGAAGCGCTCCACAGGTGGGCGGACGCAGCAGATCCTGCTGAGGCTTTCCCCCACCTTCCCGAGGATCTTGGCTACAGGAGAGAGCAAGGCAGCCAGGGAAGGAGGGAGAGAACCACACGTAACTTACACTCCTGGCAGCCAGACATCTGGGCTGCTGTAAACAATGGGGTGGCACTGGAGGGGCACAGTTGGGCGGTGGGAGCAGAAAGAGGGTGGAGAGAGAGAACAGAATTCGACAGCAAACAGTCCTTCTCACTCACAGGCCAAGGCACAAGCGTGCTGAGCCACAGACTGGACTCTCTTATTACCCTATCAAAAAACTGGAAAATACATAAAGAGGAAAATAAAAAGCACCCATTATCCCACCCCTAGAAATAACCTCCAACAATATATTATTAGTATATCATTTATTTTCTTCCATTTTAAAAATGTGCATTATGCAGACATGCCTGCATAATAAAAACGGAACCATATTCTATGCTGCAAGAGCAGAGGTGCTGTTTGATTTTTCATTTTTCAATCTCACGAGCATTTCCTCAGCACTCCCGTCACTGAACACTAACACCCAAATCCAAGGAGACTTGCCTGTGCCAAGGAACTCACTTGGAATAACTTCTGCCAGGCTAAGGCATTCCTTCTCATTAGATGGTCTTTAGAATAATCAGACATCGTACTTTGCCTGCGAGAGATCTGGTTTTCAATTATCTCTCTGGCTCTAATCCAGAAAATGTTTCTAAGCCCCTAAATGCAGTTGTACCAAACTATGAAATTCTGGTTCTTTTTGTGTATGTAGCCTGATAAGAGAATGGCCTCAAACCCAGTGTCAACATCGTCTGAAAAATTCAAATTCTCCTTCCCCTCCCCGACCTTCTGTATCAGATTCTGAGTGGCGCCAGTAATGTGGGTGCTGACCAGCCCTCCAGGTGATCCTGAAGTTTGAGGGCTACAGCCATACCCCAGGGTTCCCTCACCTGCAGTGGGCTTCACAGGCACGTTGCTGTTCTGGTAAATGGGCTGGGGGGTCTCATTCTGGGGCTGCCCGATCACAGGCGTCATGGAGGGTGTGTTGACATTCGAGAGGATACAGCCAGTCACCCTCTGGGGAAGGGAGAAATGCAGAGTCAGTGCCCCTGGCCAAGTGACTTATGAAAAGTGTTTCCAGTGATCCCCAATGCTCATCTGCTTGTCTCTCCCAGTGTGGCCCCTGAACTGAGGGAGAGCCCTGAGGTGGCTTCCCTGGGGTGGCTGTACCACGTGGCCACAACAGCTGGTCCAGAGGGAGGACAACCCAAAGGAGAAGCAAGGGACCCCCCACCCACACACCCACGTGTGGCACAGACCTGGATGCAAGTCCTAGCTCTGCCCCCCTTCCCGGCTGTGTGACCTGGGACAGTTAATTGACTTCTCAGTTCAAGACATGCACAGCTGCCTTTCCGGGTTGTGGTAGAATTCCACCAGCGAGCATATGCCGAGTCAGGAGAGTACCTGGGACGTGGGGGGAGCTGGCAGCAACGTTGTTGTAACCTTCTACTTACATGCATACCTGCCCTCCCTGCTGACTTCACGGGACTCAAATAAGGTCGTGTCCGCAAATGAGCTGTGTAAGCTCAGGAAAGGTCATGGAAACAGCAGGCACCATCATCACCCACTGCGTCCCCACGCCAGGGCTGGCGGTGACAGCGTCAGGCTCTTAGGGAGCTGTGCCAGGCAGAGCAGGATGTGTCTGTGTGGCAGGAAGGGGGCAGGCTCTGGGCACTCCTGCCTGCTTGCCAGTGTGAATACACATTCCAGAGCCAAGCAGAAATGCTGTGTGTATAATCCATTGTCCTGTGTTATCTGACCTGCTGCTTCTCCCTAGTGCGGCCGAAAACAGAGCTGATAACGCAGCTTTCTTCACAGCTGACCCAGAAGCAACCCCTCTTGCCTGCCGTGAAAGGGAGAGTCGTATGGGGTAACAGAGAAAGGCATTCATAAGGGCCCTGGCTTATTCGAGTTTCTGTCTTGAAAGCTCCAGCCCTGGCCACCAATTTTCTGGATTCCTGAGTCCCGCTGCCAGAGGAGCCCAGAGTCCCAGGACTGGGATGTCCCTCCTCGAGCACCTTTTCCCCAGGCCCCATGACAAGCCAGCAGCACAAAAAGACTCTGAGCCCTGGAAGGACAGGCATGGGTCTTGTCGGGTAACCTGTGGATTCTGGGATGTTCCTGGGAGGAGGAAGTCAGCGGCACCAGCCCCATCTGGGAAAAGAAACAATTCTCCACCATGTTCTCATTTAATAAGTGGTCTGGTGACAAAGAGTTTCTTCCCTCGCTGCATACCTTGTTAGCTCCATTTGACTTAGGTCAGAGAAGAAGGAAAGGGTGGGCCGCATGCCCCCTCTACCTGGCCAGGCCTCCATTACCTCAGAAGCACTTCCAAACAAAATCTGAGTGACCTTATCAAGCCATGTGTCTATCTCTCTGACACATCTGCTCTCTAGGCCCACAATACCTGCCAGGAGTTCTTAGGAAGTAGCTCCATGCTCCTGATGAGGCGGGGGCTGCCCCTGACCCACATTCTCTGCTGGCTTGTGCTTGACACTGCAACAGTGACAAGGCTCCTGGTGGACCCTCCACTGGTCCACCATCATGCCTGCGGGCATGAGTAACAGACGGAGGGGTTCCGGAAGCCCCAGGATCTAGACAGCAAAACAATAACCAAGCTGCTCTCACCAGATTTCAGGTGTGCCTGCAGAGCCCCTGATTTCTCCTCTTCCTCATAGAGCCTAAGAATCCTCTGTGACTAGAAGGTGCATGGCCCCCGGGAGACTCCAAGCAGATATGTATTGTGAGAAGCAAATTTGTGTGAAACCACAGGTTTCAGGGATGATTGTTACAGCAGCATATTTTAGGCCACCCTGACTGATGCAAACTTATACAATAAGATGGAGTGTTTTTTATTACTGCTGTTGCTGGAGGCCAGTTCAGACAAGAGGTCAGTGCCACTCTTCGCCAAAGTCCTTGCAAGGGGACCTCAGAAGACTTAGGATGTGTGTGAAGGGTTCTCAAAGTGGAGGGAAGTGAGATGGAGTTTCTTTGATTCCATAGGGAAGAGAGGGGGCTGGAGGGGAAGGAATTAATTGATGAAGCAACTACCCACCCTCTCTTACTTCTCTGTTCTTGGCTCTCAGTGCCATCCCTAGAGCGCCATGTCTATTAAAAGAAAACACAGCTGGGCTGTTGGTGGCTTTTGGGGTGGCTAGGGGCAGCAGACCGCTCCCCAGAAAGAAGATTCTGATGGGATGAGGCTCCTTCTGGTCAGAACGATGCCATTGTGAGTGTTGTTTGGGGCTGAGGAGGCTCTGCTCCAGGGTCAAGGGAGGTGAGCATGCCTGATTGTATCTTGTCCTGGCTGGCCAGGCTTGCTGCCATCGATGGCTCTGCTTTCAATCCTGTTAATGGTTTGTTATTGATCTGCGATGGATGCTTTCTGCCTACTCAGGCCAGTACAGCTGGCTGGTGTGGAAGCCATTCTAACCTGGCAGCCAGCACTTCAGCTCCTGCCACCTGGCTGCAAGCCCCAGGGACCCATCTGTGTTCACTAAGCAGTCACTGTGTGTCCCCAGATATGTGAGCTCTGTGCCTCCTTCTACCCACTGGTAGACTAGGGTTCAGAGCACATCTTCCTGTGAGAGGGAATGATGGTGCGACAGCTGGCAAATGAACTGTGTCAGCCCCAGCACCCTATGCTGGCATAAGGAGACTGGTGGGTCCCAAAACAGACAGGCAGGTGGACCCAGCTGCAGGTACCCCTTCCCAGTGCTCCTCTCTTCTCCTGCATTTCTTTGCCCCATCTCATCTCCTCACTTTCCTGTTGCCTGTGGTCTCCTTAATCCCACCTTGAACTTGTCAGAATATACAGCTGCCTCAAGTCCAGCAGCAATGCCCCAACTGGGAGGCCAAGTTAAGGGGTGGAGGTGGGAAGCAGCCTCCTGTGCTGCCCTGGCTCCTAATTCACTGCCCTCCTTCGTGCTGATCTCCCCGCAGCGGAGGAGCAGGAGACAGACCCCCGGTGGTCAGCAGCTGCACCTGCCTAGGGGCTGCCTGGCCTCTGCGGTCCACCCATCCCTTGGTCGAGGCCCCGCTCACCTTCATGAGGTCCCGATGGTGTTCCAGCACACTGCAGGTCGTCTGCCAGGTGTCCTGGTAGCACTCCCAGGGATCCACCCTGACAAAATAGGAAAGGGGTTTGACATGGTTTCCATTCTCACAATCTTTCGTTATTGGTACTTTCCAAAAACCACAGCTCAGGAAACCTAGGAGAGCAGGTCATATTGCATGCTTAGGTCTTGCATCAGATAAAATGTGGGCTAGAAACACCTTCCTGGGCCTCAGTTTCCCCCTCTGTAAAATGAGAGGAGTGTGACATAGATCCATGCACTGGATACTGAGCTAGTCTGCCCGGGTTTAATCCCAGCACAGCAAAGCTCATCTGCGTGGCTTTGAGAAATTTATGGGATCTTTCCATGCTCACTTCCCCCTCTGTTAAATGGAACAACAATAGTAACTCCCCTGTGGAGCTATTAGAAGGACTCAATGAGTTTCATAGGTAAAGGATTTACTACAGTGTTTCACTCTTACTCTAACTCTTACTGTTAGGGGGAAAGGATGTCCTAAAGCTGATTCCATACAGGCTTTGTGGACTCCACCCCCACCCCAGGCCAAAGCCAAAGACACTGGGAACTCCAAATCCCATCACCACCAAAGGGAAGGTGGCTGGGACCTGAGGGTGGGGTTAAGCAGCCAAGTTGGTATAAAGCCAGACACATGGGCTTTGGAGGGGTCCCCCATTTTGGCTCTCCACCAGCTCATAGCGTCCGGCCAGCTCTGAGAGTGTCTTTGGGTTTCCAGGTCGTCGGATCGGGTAGGACGCATTAAAGACTTTATTTCCCTATTTTCTCCCTGAGTTGTACATTTCCTTATTTCCTTTTCCCTTGTAAATAAACCTTTTATTAACCTTTTGTGTGTGCCCGTAGTGGAGTATTAATAAGTCCCTTTTAAGGACGCGGGTGAGGACCCACAGCCAGGCAACCCGTTCAATATCCGGGCTGCCCTATAACAGCTGGCTCCCAACGTGGTTTCCAAGCTTCACCCGTGGTTGACCAGCCCAAAGTAATTTTTCTTGCGTTGGTCACCATAAAGCGCACTAGGTCTGCAGGACTCGCCCTATAACATTACCAGGAAAATGAGAATTTCTCCTGGACTTTATAGGGTTGTGATAAGGATTAAATGAGCCAGGCCCTCATCTAGTGGCAACCACAGTCATCTGAACTGAGGAACCTGTCCTCTCTGTCTCCCTGGGCAGCAGTGTGTCTTGTGGGCATGGAGGGGCATGCAGCAGTCAGCCTGAAAGACCCAAAGTTTGGGTGGATCTTCAGTTGGCCAAAGAGGTCCACCCTTCCAGCACAGAGGCATGTGAAATGAGCTGCTATCCAGCCCCAGATAAATGTAGCACTTGGGTTTAATTGCCAATTTAATGAGCTGCTAAATTGGAATGCTTTTCAAACATTTCTTAGCCATTGAACATTCCCTGCCTCCCTCCCATCCACCCATCCCCCTGAAGGTGCCGGGAAAAGAGCTCTTACTTACTGAAACCCCTCAAAGAATCACCTCACCCAGAACCTAACTCCTCCCAGATCCGGAACAGACACTTGACTTCACTAAACAGGTTCTCGCCTCTCAAGGGGCAGGGCATGGCCAGGGCCCATGCCTGGAGCTAGCTCTGGCTTCCCTGGTGATCTCATTTCTCAGAATACTGATTTTCCAAATGCCTAGAGCAGCATGGGGTAGGCAGTAAATATCCCATAGGATGTGTTGGGTAAAAGAGGGAATTGTTTCAGAATCATGGCCAAGCCTTCTGCCCAGTGCTTTCGCCGGGGCCCCATTTTCCCTAGGAGATCATGAATTATGTGGTTAAGAGACTTGGTTTCTGGTCCTGACTTAACCACAGGTGTGGACAGATGTGGTCCAGCCTCTGGATTTCTCCACGCCTGCTTCTTACCTGAGAAAAGGCAGCTGTCACTCTAATGAACCTCCCTCTTGGGAAATGAGAAAGTCTATAAAGAGCATGTGCTTCTCCCACAAATTGCTGAACACAAATGGCAAGGATCACTCTTAATTATGATTGCGCTTCTCTCCACTGCTTTCATTTCCACCCGCCCCTCTCTCAGCTTAGCCTCTGCATCCCTCCTTGTGAGGTCAGCTTCCCATCATTTCCCTCCTACCATGGACACCCCTGCTTATTTTTCCACACTTGAGAGGAGGGGGCTCAGTGTAAGCGGTGTGCCATTATTTTTTAAAAAAACGTCATCTTCTCATGTAAATTATAGCTGTAGGAACTTTGGGGAGCATAATTAGCATAATTAGTGGAAGTCTGCTTTAATTACACTGCAGGCTCAGCAGATAACAGTGTCTGCCATCTTAGAGAGGAGACTGAGCAGGGACTGCAATTAGGGAAAGATAAGAGTGCACTTATCACCTGCACCTCCACCTTATGGTCAGAGTGAGGCCCTAGGGGGCCTGACTTGGGGGTGACAGCCAAGGTCAGGGAACATGTCCTGGGAGGTAATGAGAATGGAGAAGCATTTCTGGTTTTCTGGTCATGCCTCACCCCAAACCCAGTGGCGGTTTTGGAAGGTCCCAGAATATTCCCGAAGGTGTCAAATGAAACACTGAAAGCTCTTCCTTTGTTTCATGGGCCCCATAGCTTAGGCAAAAAATAAAATGATTGGGGCCTCCTTAGTGGCGCAAGGGGCACAGCACTGTGAAGCTGTCTGCAGTCTCTGCAGCACGAGTTTGATCCCCGGCCAGCCAAGGAGCTACCCACATGGCACAGCAGACCTCTCCTATCTCGCCAGCTGCTCTTCTCAGCAGTGTTTCAGTCAGTCTGCCTGCTCTGTTCCCCACTCTGTCTCTGGTAAGTCCTCTCACCCCCTGCACCTCTGGCCTGTACCCCAGTTCTTGTATGCATAAATAAATAAATCTTTAAAAAAATAAAATGATTGGTTGGGCCAGTCCTGAAAGTCAATGAAATTATTGCCTGCACAGAGCTAAGATCTCCCTCCCATATTCCAGTCCCCTGCCATGGTTCCCCCCATATCTAAACCCTTTGCCCTGCCCCCAGGTTCCAGTGAATGAGGGAATTGCTCCAGAATCATATCCAAGCCTCCTGCCCAGTGCTTCCCCTCCTGGACCCATTTTCCCTAGAAGATCATGGATTATGTGGTTAAGAGAATTGATTCTAATTTTATTCTTGGACTCTTGTTTCTCCACCCACTCTCAGTGAGCCCCAGAGATGGCACCTCTGGCATCATCAGGTAGGCCCTACCTGATCCAATCGGAATTCTGGACGGCCAGCTGACACATGATGAGACGGTGCCGGCTTGACACAAGGCCCTGCAAAGCAACAGAGCAATCACCAGAGGCTCCCTCTGCTCCCCGCATCCCTAAGACACCCTCTCAGGCCAGCCCATTATAAGAGTGCAACCATTTTTCAAAGGTGGCAAGGAGTGTGTGACCCCTTTTACTTACCCATCTGCCACACAAAACAGGCAAAGAATGACAGAGTGGAAAGAAAAAAATGAAGGATAGGTGTGGAGTACATAACCCCACCAGGGTCCACAGAGGAACCTTCACTGACAGAGCCCCCAGGGTGCCCAGCACAGAGACCAGACTAGCTTGGCAAACATTGGCTCAATCTGGCTGGTGAGGTGACTTCTCTGAGGGCCTACCAAGTTATCCGCAGGCAGAACAGAATGACTTGGAGAGCTTTTGGGATATGAGGCAGTGAGCAAGGGGCCAAGGAATGAATTTTAAATCATTATAAGCGGTCTTATAATATGAATAATATATCAAAGCGGTAACTTTCAAAGCCTTTTTCTTTTAAAATCCCAGGGAAGAATTGTCCAGCACACAGCCAGCCACCAAGCTGGCATCTGTGGTGAGTCACATCTGGCCCCCAGCAGGAGTGCCTTCTCCTCTTTTAATGAGTTCTCATTGGGCCTGGCACTATCAATCTCACCTCACCCAGTGGGCAGTTGCTCCTTCCAGCTTCTGCTCTCACATCGACACTCAGGTCTGAATGTGGGCCAGAGACCAGATGTGGGATGCTGCTAGCGGGCATTTTGAGTTCCTAGGAATCCTAGCAGTGTGAACATACTGCCAAATTTTCTGGGATCTCCCTACCCATCCCAGAACTAGCATGCAACAGAGCAAAGCATCTTCATAGATGTAAAGCATGAACAGACTCCACCCTATAGCCTGCACAGGAATCTGCTGCCTGCACTCATGCCAGCCTTTTCACACCCACTGATGACCAAGGAGTCAGATAAAAAAATGATTGAACAATGGGTACCCAGCCTTTGCATCTCTACTGTACATTCTTTAGAGAGGAAGAGATTAAATCCTGCATTGCTTTCCTCTAGCATCAGAATATCTTCAGGTCAGGACAACTTAGAACTAGAAGACTCTCCTGTCAAGGATAATTACAGTCTTAATGTCAATGACTCACTGTTCTTACCTTTGTAAACTAAATTCAAATGTGTTGATTGGAACAGTTCCCCCAGAGTACAACCTGTCCAACTGTCTCCTGGGTTTGAATCCTCACTTTGATTATCTAATAAATTCTTTGTCTGACTGTCATTGAGGCTTTATTTCCAGTTAACAGCAGAAATGGCAGGGAGGGGGGCCTCCCGGGTGGCGCAGCGGTTGAGCGCTGGGTTGCGAACCTGCCCGTGGCCTCTGCAGCGCTGGTTCAATCCCTGGCTGCTCCCCGGCCACCAGAGGAGGGTCCCACATGGCGCGCAGACCTCTCCTGCCGCCCGCTGCTCCCCTCAGCAGTGTACTTCGGTCCTTCTGCCTGCTCTGCTCCCCGCTCTGGCTCTGGTGAATTCTCTCACCCTCCCGTGCTTCTGACTGTACCCAGTGCATGTGTAAACAAAACAAACAAACAAACAAACAAATAAATAAATAAACATGACTCTAAAAAAAAAAAATAAAAATAAAAAATAAAATAAAAAATAAAAAAATAGAAATGGCAGGGGGGAGGTTTCCGGTTGGAGGACTTCAGAGTGAAGGAAGAGAGAAGCAAAGGAGGACCCACCTGCTTTCCATAGGAGTCGTGGACAGGAGAGACAATGCCGCCAATCACAATAAACCTCCCAGTTTTGTGCAGATAATCCCTGGCTCTTTCTAATCAAGAGAAGAAAAGTGCATATTATAAAGAGGAAAGGGGCGGATAACGGTGATAACTGAAATTCATATGTTCAGATCTGTAAGGATCTTTTTTGCCATTTAAATAGAAGTGCCAACTTTCAAAGCAAACACTGCTGACTCAACAGGCTGTGGACCCAAATTTCAGCCCCAAAGCAAAAGGATTTAGAACTCAAGAGGAATTATCTAGTTTTAAATTTCCTCTACAGAACAAGCCCATCTGTTTAGAAGCATTTAAAACAAGCACCTCACTAAAGCCATTAGAGCTCTTAGATTGGAATTTGCCCCTATTATCACTTGTAGAAATTCCAAAGTGGGGGGATAATTTTTTAAAAAACCTCCTTATAATATGAAAGGTGTGCTGATTGCCTCATAGTTACTGGAGTAAAAGCACCAAAACAAATTAAAAAGGTCTTCTAGATGATTAGGGAGAATTAGCAATCAAACCAGAAAGCCACTGTCATTATAGGTAGTTGAGAAAATTTCAGCCAGATAAGCCCAATTTCACTTTCACGGAGAAATGCAGCAAACGAGGAAGGGAATGAAAATGTGGGTTTTCTCTTACTTCCAAGGGGGTTCCTTATACAAATCCTATGGAGCCTATGCATTTATTCCTGAGGGAAAGTGGCATGGCTTCTATGTCAGGGATTTAGAGTAAAGGGGGAGGAAGCTTGTTTGCAAAGATGGCTGTGCGGTTTACAAGCAAGTTTCCAAGTTACCTTGCTGCTGCTCTCTTAAAACATAAAAATAATTCTTATCACATTTGACATTCTTATTTTCAATGTGAAATTTCTTGGGGTTTAAAAAATCATTGATAGATTTAATTTAAAAATTAAGAAGCAGGGTCTCCTTGGTGGTACAAGGGGTTAAGATGCAACTTATGAAGCTATCCACAGCCACTGCAGCACGAGTTCGATCCCTGGCCAGGGAGTTACCCAGATGGTGCAGCAGACCTCTTCTGACTCGCCTGCTGCTCCCCTCAGCAGTGTATTTCAGTTAGTCTTCCTGTTCTGTTTTCTCCATTCTGTCTCTGGTGAATCCTCTCACCACCACCCCCCCCACACCCACCTCTGGCCTGTACCCCAATTCTTGAAAAAAAAATTAAGAAACACAGGTTTAGATTTACAGAACAATTGAGCAGAGAGTACAGAGGTCCATTTACTCAGTCCCCAACTCCTTCTCTATGCCATGCCCAATGCTATTTCCCTTAGTGTTTTATGGCTCAAAGGAAACTTGGATACCAGGGCTAACAAGAAGCAAGTTTCATTGCACCGGTGCTGACTCAGCAGATTCACGTCCTGAGGCTGAGCCCAGGGGCTTATATACACTTTTAATTTCTACAAGGTTCTGGGTGGGTTTGCATTGGCAGCTGTACCTGGCCAGACATGGCATGGCTACATACCAAGAAGTGAGTTGTATGGCATACCAAGGAGTGAGTAAAGGGTCAGTAGTCATAGAACCTGTCCCCTTCCCCCAACCCCACTTCCTCATGGTTAACATCTGACATGAAGCAAGATTCATACCAGGAACTAAGTTGCATACCAGGAACTGAGCAAAAGGTCATTACAAAGGCCCCCAGGCTGCTTATCTCAGGTCACAAGGCTTTGTTAGTATTAATAACTTGCATTAGTGTAGTACATTTGGTTATACTTGTTGTAACCAAATACTGACACACTGCTATTAACTACAAGCCATAGTTTACATGAAGATTCACTCTTCGTGTTGTAGAGTTCTATAGGTTTTGACAAATGCTTAATGATATATATTCATTACAATTTCATAGAGGATATTTTCTCCACCCTCAAAATCCACAGAGCTCCACCTCCTCATTTCTATCTGTTCCATGATGGTTGTTCTTTTTACTGTTTCTATAGCTTTATTTTCCCCCAACTACCATATAGAATCATACACCATGTAGCCTCTTCAGACTGGCTTCCTCTAATGGCAACACACAATTAAGTTTCCTCCATGTCTTTTTTTTTTAAATTTATTTATTCATGCATACAAGAGCTGGGGTACAGGTCAGAGATGCAGGGATTGAGAGGATTCACCAGAGACAGAGCGGGGAACAGAACAGGCGGAGCGGGGAACAGACTGACTGGAATACACTGCTGAGGGGAGCAGTGGGCCAGACAGGAGAGGTCTGCTGTGCCATGTGGGTTTCTCTCTGGCCGGCCAGGGATCGAACTCGTGCTGCAGAGGCTGCGGATTGCTTCATAGTGCTGTGCTTAATCCCTTGCACCACCAGGGAGGCCCTCCTCCATGTATTTTTGAGATAGAACTCATCTCCACAGAGGAGGGATGAGCAGAGAAGCACACTGAACTGGCACTGTTACAGAGCAGCCCCGATATACAATGGGTTGCCTGGTTGTGGGTCCTCACCCGTGCGCTTAGAAGGGACTTATTAATACTCCACTGCATGCACGCAGAAAAGGTTAATAAAAGGTTTATTATCAAGGGAAGGGGAAATGAGGAAATGTACAACTCAGGGAGAAAATAGGGAAATAAAATCTTAAATGTGTCCTACCCGATCCGCCGACCTGGAAACCCAATGGCACTCTGAAAGCTGGCAGAGAGCTGGCCGATAGCCGCGAGCTGGCAGAGAGCCAAAAGGGGACCCACCAAGGCCCACATGTCTGGTTTTATACCACACCTGGCTGCTTAACCCCACCCTCAGGTCCCAGCCACCTTCCCTTTGGTGGTGATGGGATTTGGAGTTCCCACTGTCGTTGGCTTTGGTCTGGAGTGGGGGTGGAGTCCACAAAGCCTGTATGGAATTAGCTCAGGACATCCTTTCCCCCTAACAGCACCATTTCCCCCACCTCCACTTATTTGCATGTACCTTGGATTACAAGTCCCAGTGATCCATGAACAGAACTTCCTGAATGGGGGTAGCTGAGTAGGAACAAGGTGGATGTATAAATAGAGGGGGACTTAGAAGAAAAATTGGAGGAAACACATGGAGGAGAAACATGTAGAGACACTTGGAAGTGGTACTTGGAAGAGACATGTGGGTGAGAGATATGTGGGGAGGCTGCTTCTGGTCCTTGGTAGAGACAATAGGAACATTATCTTGAGTTCATGTTGGATTATGTGGTACATTTTAAATTTCTAGTCTTTACCTCTGTCCCAGCAATCTGGGACCTTCCTGACTCCTTTCTTGTGGTTCCCTTTCAGAAGTTACTTTAGACTTGTGGCAAGCTTTCAGGCCTCAGCAGCCCACTTCAGGCTAACCATGTTTACCTGGCCATTTGCCCATGAGAAGAGGGGTAATTTTGGAGTTTTATTGGGAATTTGTTATTTGAAATCCTTTCTCACTCTCTCTCCTTTCCACCCCCCACAATAATCCTAGAAACCCTTTGCACTGAGTCTGCTTCCTGTGTCTTTGGGCATGCAGATAGCAGAATCCCTTTTATTTTATTTTTTATTTTTTTTTAAAGATTTATTTATTTATTTATTTATTTATACAAGGAGGCCCGCAGAATCCCTTTTAGAGTGTGCACCCCCTTAATAGTTTGGGGTCCCTGGGTACCCCTTGGTCATGCGCTAACAAAATAAATGTAAGGGCCTCCCCTGGTGGCTCTGTGGTTGAGCGCTGGGCTGCGAGGCTGCCCGCAGCCTCTGCAGCTCCAGTTCACAGTGTATTTTGTCACTCTGCCTGCTCTGTTCCCCGCTCTGGCTCTGGTGAATTGTCTTTCCCTCCCGCACTTCTGCCTGTGCCCAGTGAGTGTATAAATAAATAAATAAATAAATAAATAAATAAATAAATCTTTAAAAAACAACAACAACAACAAAATAAATGTGAGGTATGGTGGTTACAGTTGATAAGCAACTATATTGTATAATTGGAATTTGCTGAGGGTTGAGCTTAAATGCCCTCGCATACAAGTATATATGTGAAGTCATGGATACGTTCATTAACTAGGTGGGTGGAATACTTTCACAATGTATACATATAGCAAATCACCATGATGCACATTTGAAATCTCTTACAATTTTATATGTCAATTACATCTCAGTAGAGCTAAAATTAAAAAAATTCTGGAGTCAGGCCTCCCTAGTGGTGCAAGGGGTTAAGCACAGCACTATGAATGAATCTGTAGCCTTTGCAGCACGAATTTGATCCCCAGCCAGTCAGGGAGCTACCCACATGGTGTAGCAGACCTCTCCTGTCTTGCCCACTGCTCCCCTCAGCAGTGTATTTCAGTCAGTCTGCCTGTTCTGTTTTCTTCTCTGTCTCTAGTGAATCCTCTCACTCCTTAAACCTCTGGCCTGTACCCCAGCTCCTGTATACATAAATAAATAAATCTTTAAAGCAAACAAACAAAAAGTTCTGGAGTCTTTTCTGGAAAATAGAAAAGGAATGAATCATTCCAGTTCTTTTTTTTTTTTTTTTTTTTTTTTTAAGATTTATTTATTTATTTATACAAGCACTGGGTATAGTCAGAAGCGCGGGAGGGTGAGAGAATTCACCAGAGCCAGAGCAGGGAGCAGAACAGGCATAAGGACCGAAGTACACTGCTGAGGGGAGCAGCGGGCAGCAGGAGAGGTCTGCATGCCATGTGGGACCCTCACCCAGTGGCCAGGGAGCAGCCGGGGATCGAACCGGTGCTGCAGAGGCTGCGGGCAGCTTCGCAACCCAGTGCTCAACCGCTGCACCACCGGGGAGGCCCTTTTTTTTTTTTTTTTTAAATAATGTCCAAGTGGTTCTTTCTTTCTTTATTTAAGATTTATTTATTTATTTATTTATTTATACAAGCACTGGGTACAGTCAGAAGCGCTGGAGAGTGAGAGAATTCACCAGAGCCAGAGCGAAGAGCAGAACAGGCAGAGTGACGAAGTACACTGCTGAGGGGAGCAGTGGGTGGCAGGAGAGGCCTGCGCGCCATGTGGGACCCTCGCCCTGCTGCGGGGGATCGAACCGGCACTGAAGGGGCTGCGGGCAGCTTCGCAGCCCAGCACTCAACCACTGCGCCACC